GTTGTGGCCGAAGTGCAGGGCCCGGCACTTGGCTTTATTTAAATAACTACAAAATAGAAACTGCCATTCAAAGAAATGTTACTTTGTAACAATATGCTATATATATTTAAAACTCTGTGTTTTGAAAGTATAATAAACACAGGTCTCTTCCTACTTCAGCTATCTATCTGCTCTCGAGCTGTATGCCCCACCCACCTTCTCCACTCTCCAACATAGCCAAAACGAAGCTAACTTGAATGCAGAAAGCGCACGCTTTGCTGTGGAAAGAAAGGTGTTGGGATATAGAAACTGGGAATGTCGCTTTCTGTGTGAAGCTAGGAAGGGGGTTCCGCTCAGACAGGAGACAAGCAGGCAAGTTGGTGCTAGAACTAGGGAGGTGGGGTGGCTGAGTGTGGAAGTGGAGTGAGCGAGTGAGGAGGCCAGATGGTGAGGGATGACAACTCAAAAAGAGTGAACAGGAGGAAAAGGTGGCCTGGCCTAGCCTAGGAAGTGAATTGTTCAGTGCAGAAGTCTAGAGAAGTTCTTCTAGGGGTTGTGGTCATGAGAACTGTGGCTAGGATGGTGGGAGATTACAACTGAGTCTGGAAGAGATGGTGGATAAAGGGCAAAGGGGATAAAACTGGGCAAGTGTGTCTGTTCACCATAGTGTACTGATTTTCAGGGTCTGGAAGGAAGGCCAGTGTTCTTGAATGTACCCCTTTCCTGATGTTGCCAAACATCTGCAAAAGCCCTCTGGTCAGGCTTGCCATCCCCTGTGGTGCTTAGTCCAGTCTGTTGTTACCAGGAGCCTGAAAGTGGTGATGGAATTGCCATTTTCATTGTTTCTTCTCACATGTTTGTGCTGCATTTGTCATTAGGAGGCCAAAAGAAAATTGCTTGGGCATCCTTACCTTAGACTTTTCTACCTTTTGATTCTGGCTGTGCTTTGGTATATTCCTGTAATGTTACCTTTTGCTTGGAATTTATTGTAGAGAAACCGCAGAGCTGATAGCTTGAAGGCAGTCTGTTGGAAGACTAGTAAGCTGTTTCACAGTCTCTCTAGGTTTACAGTCCCATAGTCAAAGCTGGTGCTTCAAAATAGACTTCCTCACATATCATTCACAGTGTAATCTTTACAGTCTAGGATCGGCTTATAGAACTTGTGAGTTTCTGCTTTACAAAATTTACTAAAAACCTTGAAGTTGGAAGGTGAGCTGAGTAAGAACGAAAAGCTTTTCATTTGCCTTGCACAGTGATAATATTTTCAGTGGTTTGTTAGCCCCGACAGTACTTTTTGTTGCCTCCGTTGAGAGTCAGGATCCCTGGCTATAGACCAGGTATTTCCAATCTGCTGAGCACAGCTGCAGAAAGAAGAGGGAAGTATTGTCTCTATTAATACAGTATATTGGTATAAGTAATCACTGAGTAAATTGGGTATTTTCAGTTTCCATATTAGACCAGTAAGTGGCAGTAAGTTAATGTGGTGCTTTTCTCAGTGTTAGTTTCAGCCAATGTTAATTTATATAGCTCAATTAAAGCGTTTTCTTCCTATGTTTTACATTTCTATGTGCCTTATCTGTAAAACCAAATGCCTTTTTCAGAATGCTAAACTTACAGGGTTTGGTTTTGTTTTGTTTAATTTTAGATTCTCCTAAGTCTAAATCAAAGAAAAAGAAAAAAGAAAAACACAACAAAAAGGTAAATGTTTACAAAGAGAAGTAAGTAGTTAACAAACAGAAAGCAGGTCTTCGTATTTTGATAACCTTAAGTGTCATGTGAGATGCAATGCTTTTGTGTGTGTCTGTGTAAATCTGAGTCATGCTTTTAGAGTTACAGTAGGTGAACTGATAGGGTGGCATATACTTGCCTGCATACTAAAGGAGAAAGAATTTAAAGGTTCCTTTTGCCAGTCGTTGCTGGTCCAGCTAGAGTTTAGAGCGGTCTCTGAAGAAGAAAGAGGTGGGGAATATTGGTAACTTTATAGAATTTGTCAGAAGAAACAATTTCTAGTCAGTAAGAGAGAATTAGATTCTTGCTGTTGCAATTTTTCATTTTATTAGACCTTCTGTTCAGTGATTTTATGTATTTGGGTTACATTAAAAGAGAGAGCATCAGGGCTCAGTCCACTTCTGTTTCCCAAGATCTGAAGGGTTGCTGACCCCACTGCATTACTTCCTGTGCACTTCAGACAGTACCTGTTCAGCAGTGGTGAGGGCAAGTGGTGGTGGCTGTCTTGACTAGCCAGGGCGTGGGGAGCTACTTATGGATATCCTTTTTTTGCCCTTGTGAGCCTGTAAGCGTAAGAGTGTATGTCTTATACTTGTAGAAAAGGAAAAAAGAGAACAAAATGAAGAAAAAGAAAGAAAAGAAGAAAAAGAAAGAGAAAACAGGACCTGTTCAGCTTTCCAAGGTATGCTTGTGTGAGTCTGAAGTCCTGTTATATTTCACATCTAAACGCTTAATCTGTCTTGTCATAAAAATGTTTATAACGCCACCAGTTTTGTCCTCAGCAAATAGAAACCTGCCTCTATTGTTTTGGACAGTCAGGAAGTATAAAAGATTATTGTCTGTAATTTTATTTAAGATTTGTAACATTACAAAGTAAAGGAAAACTTACATCTTTCTGATGTGTGATCTCATTTTAGTTCTTTAAAAACAAAAAGAAGAATGAAAACTACAGCATGATAACTGGCAAGAAAATTAAGATGAGAATAAAGAAGACTAAGAAGGATAAAGAGGTAAGAGTTAAAATAGTCTATGTATCCCTAAGGGAAAATACTGTATCTTTTAATGTTCTTCTAATAGTAGTCTTTTGTAGAAGAATAGATCTTACGGTTAGAAGTTGTAAATTGAGCGTAGCTTTCAATGTGGCTGTGATGCCGTCTGAGAAATTCTAATTCATTCTTTTGTCAGGTTGTCTGTTATGAGTGGGCTTGGAATACTCAGGCATGAGTAGATAAACCAAAGGATGCTTGTGCGTTCTTTGAATTGCAGTCTGTAACGTTTAGCTGACTTGTGCCTTTCTCTGTTGATGTAGTTGATGCTGGTTTTAAGTGTCGTCCCCTTCTTCCAGTCTCTTGTGATCAGTTGTGGTAATTGGCTGCTTTACTGTGTTTTTTCTAACACGTGCAAGGCCAGCCGTTATTTAGAGAATTAAGAGAAGACAACAGCAGTATTAGGACCACGTACTCATGCATTCTCTGAAAGCAGTCAAATGCTGAGATACCCAGGGAAGTAGGTATCACGAGTAGCGTTTTGTGCTATTGCTTTGGGTGTTTGGACTCAGCACTTTAGTATGTTCAGCAGTTCCCCACCTTAGAGTGATCTGCAGAAGGCTTCTGGTACTACTAGTCAGTATGTGTTAAAAGGGTTACTTTGCTGAGGTGTCCAGTTGGCAGATTCTGATTTAGCCATAACAGTTCATTCCGCAGCTACCAAAGCAGACCTGAGCATTCCAAGTTAAATTTGATCAAAAATACATTGTCTTCTTTCTGTGGCACTGAAGTTTGTGTTAAATTAGGCTGAATGCTTGCCAGCCTTATCCCAGTAACCTGCTTGTGACAGTATTTGATGTCAAATATTTGATGTTGGTCCTTTTTTGATTGGTGTCCATAGTCATGAACGTGCTGAATCGAACAACATCCATTCTTCACAATATTTTAAGATTCAATAATGGTTTTAAAAATAGTGATTTTAAAAACACTGGAAACAAGTGTTTTGACTGTTTGGGCCATCTCTTATGTAAAGAAAGAACGTAAATTCATGGTTCCCTTTCTGTTATGCTGCAAGCTGCTGCTTATGCATAGAAAAAAAAATGATACTTCCCAAAGCACAAGACTTGCTGTGTGTACAGTGAAAGTTGCCTCAGACACCAGAGAATTGCATCTGTTCTGCTTATGGGTTCCCTCCTGAGCAGGCTGTGACCTACATGATGACAACCCAGTGGAGCCTCCATGGGGAGCCCCTTAGAACACGTATCATGCAATAGTGACAGTGACAGCTTGTCTCCTGTAGCATCTCTCCTGAGTACCCACCGCCTTGCGCTCCCTTCAGGCTCTGACGCCTAACTGGTGGCTGGTCATATCCAGCTGTTTGGGTGCGGCAGCGTTCGTTGTGCAGCGTGCTGAGATGTGAAAGCCCTGCAGAAAGGAGGGTTACACAGCCCCCATCCACCACGTACAGGTCTGTTAAACCACTGCCTCTGCTTTTCTGCTCTACAGAGAGACCGCAACCGTGCAGAACTCCTTGAATTTCTGAACTCTGCCTTGTAATGGGAAGACCAAGGACTTGTAAATATACCAAGCCAACAATCATCATGCCTAGCAAAACACTGAAGGGAAACTCAGGGAAAAGGACGCCAAGTTTGACAAGACCAGACTCCCCTGCTGAGAAGACAATTGGGATGTCCTTTTTTAATGGCAAAATGAAGAGTAACTGGTAACTTGTTAATGAAGATCCATGTCCTTCTTTTGAGATCCTGAGGTAATAGCCAGGCTGTGGTGTTTTAGAAGAGCCTAAGAGTGTGTCATTGACAATGATAAGAAATGACACACTGAAGTCCAATAATGTAATTTCGATCCTAACTGCATGCAGAACACACTTTTAATTTCAAATGTCTTAAATGTTTGTAGTAGTTTAAGCAAATCAGAGTACTTGTAAATGTCTATTTGAAAGATGAGGCATTTCTATATGTATATTTTTTCCAGTAGTGGTTTCACTTGTCTTAAAGAGCAAGTTGACCTGTGTAAATAGAACATGCTTTTATGTAAACAATTTTTGTCAGTTCATTCACTAATATATTATTTCTTTCAGAGTTTGAGATGTGATCTTTCTCTGGGCAGTTTATTGCTCTTTCTCACTAGAAAGTGTAACAGTAAAATACTCTAGAGCAATAATGGTAGCTGAATGATTTTTGTCCTAAAATAGAAGCAGGAAAGGTCTCTGGCTTTGTTTATCTGGATCAGCTGTTCAAAGGCAGCTCACAATAGATAGTTACCCCACACATCTGGACTTGCAGTTCCTAGACCTGAAAACCCTGGAGTTCTGGCCTGCCTTTCTGATCCCCTGAGCTGTTGTCCTGGTTTAACCCCAGCCAGCAACTAAACACCACGCAGCAGCTCGCTCACTCCTCCCCACTCCCAGTGGGATGGGGAGGGGGATTGGAAAAAAAAGTAAAACTCATGGGTTGAGATAAGAACAGTTTAGTAACTAAAAAAATAACAATAAATTTAATAATAATTATAATGAAAAGGGGTATAACCGAAATAAAACAGAAATAAAGCCCAAGAAAAGATGAGTGGTGCACAATGCAGTTGCTCACCACCTGCTGACTGATGCCCGAGCAGCAATCTGTGCCCCCTCGGCCAGCTCTCCCAACATTATATACTGAGCGTGATGTCCTGTGCTGTGGAATGTCCCTTTGTCCAGTTCGAGTCAGCTGTCCTGGCCATGCTCCCTCACAGCTTCTTGTGCACCTCCTTGGTGGCAGAGCGCGGGTTACTTAGGATAAGCTGCTCAGGAACAACCAATACTTTTGGAAGTATTGTTCTGAAGTATCAGTAGGGGGAAGAACAAACAAATAAACAAAAAACCCTCCTTTTTTTTTTTTCCCATTGATTTATGCTACTTTGCTATCTTCTATTTATGCTACTTTGCTATCTTCTAGCTAGCAATGCCAAAGCATCTTGTCCATTTAAGCAGCTTTTATCTCTGGACTTCTCTTAACAAGGTTAATCCCAAACACAGTCTCAGAAGACGCCAACATCCTTGCCACTCCCTAGGTTATGTTTTATGTAAAGATAGTGTCATTTCCTGAAAATTCAGCAGAGGGCAGGGGGGAGAAGTAGAAATTTGGAAGACAGAAAGCAAATAGGAATGGCAAACCCACAGATGGCACTTGTAAAGAACTGCATTGGTTGGAAGGTTCAGACTTCATTGAAATAATCTGCTTTTTGCTGCCTTACTCCAGTTTGGTCAAGATTGTAAAAACTCCTTCACTGTTCCATGCTAGTATGGAAAAGGCAACGGACCTTTAGTAATATGATGTGGTCTCTTCCTCTTTTTTAGGGTTTTGGTAGCTGCCAACTCTGACTGTACAAAACCAAGTCAGACTATTTTTTTCTTTTTAAATTAAAAAAAAAACCCAACTTTTTTTTTTTTTTCTGTTTCAGGATAGATGAATTTTCCTATTCAGTTTTGACATGCTGGATGTGCTTTGGTGATACTCTAAAGTGTTTCTATGCCAGAATTTACTTCTAAGCTATCATTTCTTTCAGAAGGCCAAGCTGCTTAAGTTCCATGGCAGTGGTTCAGTTTTATTGTCTCCTGCCCAGTCAGTTGTAAGTGCTGTCTGAAATTTCCCAGCAGTTACTGTTTTTATAAGCCTCCTTTTCGTTCCTACCCATCTCCATGTAGGTTCTCATATTTCTAAAGAGGTTTGAGCTCATGTTGCATCCTTCCATCTGCCATCTTTCCCCACAAGCACTGAGATCCCATGTGTCGTCTTGGGACTGAGTATCTTTGAGGGTGTTAAGAGCCGGCCAGCAGATTCCTGTCTCCCTGGTGAGCACAGGCCCATACAGCCAGAATAATTGTCCGTGCCTTGCTGCCTCAGGAAAAGTTAATTTTGTTGGCCTTTTCACTAAAGCATAGCTACTTAAATCTGCTTCCAGTGCCTATCGTGGCAGCTGAACCAAAGACTGAACCAGATGTGAAGGTTATGACAGTAAGGTAAGAGATGTAGAGGAATGTGATCGAATACAGATCAAGAAATTTGCATGAGGGAACTCTGAGGTGGCGTGGGATGTCGACCTGATATGCAAATGGCTGATAGAGAGCCTTGCTACCAGGTCTCAAAGAAGCGCATATCGTGGGGGGAGATGAAGGCTGGAACAATAGAACAATAGAAAAGGTATGAGGTGGCGATGGAGGGAAACTGCTACTGTCAGAAGTCACAGAGTGGGGCAGAGGTCAGGTCATAAGGAAGGGGCTACAGAAGCTTCTCTGGCTGGACAAGCTGAGATTCTTGCTAAAATGCTGAATAACAGAAGTCTTTCAGGTGTGAAACTTTTGTGTGTGTGTGTGTGTCACAGTCTTCCCTGTCGCACCCACTTTCTGTGTGCCTGCAATGCTTTCCATTCTGGGAGTCATGCAGAATTCCACTGAATTTTTTTTTAACAACAAGAATTCCAGAAATAGAAGTCACTGGGGTGGAAAGGAGGGGAAGGATCTATTTGTTGAGCTGCTGCCACCATGCCACCCTCCTTGGCAGTGTTTTTTCTAAGTATCCCATTTACAAAAAGTTGTGCCACAAGCGGCAGAATTGGTAAGACTTGGTCCCTTGGGATTTGTGGCTGTTGCTCTTTAAGCCCTTGCTGCCACACTAGTCCTGCCTCCTGCTTGTGTGCTGTAGTTAGGCAGGCATAAATGTGGAATGGCTGTGTTGTTTTCATTGATCCTATGGTGGAGGGTGCTCATTTGGACCTCCCGGATCTGGCGAGTAATTGTCATGAAGCAGGAAAGAAACCAGGTGTTTCTAAGATCCTTCCACAGTTGATACAACTGGTAGCAGTCCCAAAAGTTATTGGAAGGGGATGGAGCACAGTTACATAAGTTCCTTTTCTTATGCAGGGAAAACAGGCAAAACATGAAAGAATGATTGATGCAAGTAATTAAGTGGTTCAGCTAGTTCTCATGGGCGATGCTATTCCTTGTACTCGTTCCCTTTATGATTTGTCTGAACTTGACTCCTTTGCCCATGCAAAAATGTACAAGAGATCAAGATGAGAAAATACCACTTTGTCTTGGAAGTACTTGCCTCCATTGAACAGAGATGTATCATCCTGCGGGGCTGAGCAGGGCCTGCCGTTTTGATACCTGTGCAATATTCAGTATGGTTACCCTTAGGCAAGTTGCGCTGTTTTGATGTACTTGGACGTTTCATGCTGCAGGAATATATGAGCTTCCCAGTCATCCTCTCCAGCGGGGAAAACTGAGCTGTATATGCCGAGGAAAAGCAGAGGTCAGAGAGGCTGAAGTAACCTGTCCTGGGGTCACCTACTGAACCTGCCCTGGTAAGGTGCGGGTGGGTGCCTTGACCACTGGATGGAGCTCTGGTATGCTTTGTTGTACGTGGGAAACGTGGTCTTTGCTGTGCGTATTTAGAAACAAGTTTCCAAAGTTCTTGCTCAGCTCTCAAGGCTGTGAGCTTCACTCTCATTTGGGCACTCCATGAAATGGATGGATTTTAAGTGGTAGGGGGTCCTTCTGAAGGATACGAGGTCCTGGGCACACCTGAAAGTCTTCTAGTCTGCTACTTGGCTATATTTGAAGCCATAGAGTGATAAGCTTTTGAGAAGATGGTGCTTTAAATTATTGGCAAACACCCAGCCTTCTAGTTCCATTTCTGAACAAAATGAATCATCAAAAATACTGTCCAGTGCAGAGATCATGACTTATTTGGCTGTTGACCACAGGTATTTTTTTCCTGCCCATTCAATTTTGGTCTTAAATTGTGATTCACAAGGAGTATGAACCATATAGTGTTTTCTGAGGGAAGAGCAGGACATGGTGCTGAAGGCTCTAAGGCAGCATGTTTTGAGCCTTTTCAAGCAGTGTGAAGAATATCATTAATATCCAGTCTCATAAGCGTACATCGCTCACAGAGGCACAGTGTTTAAGATGACAACTGTTCTGATACCAGCATGCTGGCCATTGGTGCTGTCTTCTAATAAGGCACTAAACACTACAGCTAACACCAGTTGTGTTCACTTTGCTCTCCATTAGTGAGCTGTTCTCTGGGTGACAGTGGTGCGAGAGAAAGGTAGTACAAGAGTAGGGATCTCTTCTTGCCAGGAGAAGCCTGGTTAGAAAGCTGCTGCGTGATTCCTGGCTAATAGGTGCTGGGAAATCTGCCGGCAGGTGGCATTGCTGTCCAGCTGGACTGTCATGGAATTATTTTTATTTTATTTTTTTTTTAACCTTTGGACATTGGCTTTGCACTTTCTTATTCTGAAACCCTATAATTATCCTGCAAAGACCTAATTATGTGTTGTTTATGAGGAACACTTGTTACTGCTGCCCAATGAATTTAATCCAGTCTTTGTTCATTTCTTGCTCTTGGCTGTGCTGTGGACAGACAATAGTCTCTCCTGCTGGTGCTTGTGTGCCGAAGGCAGAAGGAAGCCTTTAGCTTCTAAGTGGTTGAATGCAACAGGAGCAAGTTGCTGAGAGCCAGTAGGGACCTGGAAGGACCAGGTGTTCTTGCACCATCCCTACCTGGGGCTGCCGAGTTCTTCAGCAACTGCACCCAGCTCTTCTCCATCTCATAAATAATTTCAGGCCGCCAGTGCCAGAATAGAGGGAAAAAAAATAGCTGAGGAGCATTTCACTGTCACTGCTTTATACCACATCTCGTTGTTTCAATAGCCTTCGGACTAAATTAGGTGCAATGTGTTGCTTTAGGCAACCTGACGCTACAGAGAATTAGGTTGGAAAAGGTACTGCGCATGGACTGTGACCTGATAGAGGTCTCTGAGAACATGGCATTGTGATCACTAAAGAGGTGTAACAGTAATTACATTGTGAGAGTAGATACTCTGATGTAGAAAACACACATGCTCTCCCATGCTTCTGCAGTATCTGCTATGGGGTCAGATTAGATTTGGTAGAGGCAAAATGTAACTGTGACGAAAATATAGAGGTGAAATGCTATAATCTGGGTATCTTGCTAACACCCTAAGAATTTACAGTTTTATGGAGCATACAGTGTACACAGATAACTGTAAATTGCTGCATAATTCACTGTGCTTCT